AATACATCCAACACCATTCTATATATATATCCACAATACATCTAATACCATTCTATATATATATCCACAATACATCCAACACCATTCTATATATATATCCACAATACATCTAATACCATTCTATATATATATCCACAATACATCCAATATCATTCTATATTTATATCCACAATACATCCAATACCATTCTATATATATATCCACAATATATCCATTATCATTCTATATATATATCCACAATACATCCAACACCATTCTATATATATATATATATATCCACAATACATCCAATACCATTCTATATATATATCCACAATATATTCAATACCATTCTATATTTATATCCACAATACATCCAATATCATTCTATATTTATATCCACAATACACCCAATACCATTTTATATTTATATCCACAATACACCCAATACCATTCTATATATATATCCACAATACACCCAATATCGTTCTATATTTATATCCACAATATATCCAATACCATTCTATATTTATATCCACAATATATCCAATACTATTCTATATTTATATCCACAATATACCCAATATCATTCTATATTTATATCCACAATACATCCAATACCATTCTATATTTATATCCACAATACACCCAATACCATTCTATATATATATCCCCAATACATCCAATACCATTCTATATATATATCCACAATACACCCAATACCATTCTATATTTATATCCACAATACATCCAATATTTATATACACAATACCATTCTATATTAATATTTAGCTTTTGATCACGTTTATAATTTTTTATTAAGTTTCTGGCCACGTTTTCTGCTTTTTTTTTCTCACCCATCACGTTATTGTTGAAAGATTTCCAAACTTTTCTCACATTTTTATGTATCTTCACAAATCTTTATACCAGTCATATTTTTTGACATCAAATTGTATGGAGAGAGAGAGAGAGCTTTCATTGTATTTGGGTAGGGTGGAATCGAACAACTGCTTCTAAAGCCAAGTTACTTCTAGATCAAAACTCTGCTTTCCAAATAATTTGTTTCATTATTTCACTCAAATCTACACAAGGGCTATCTGCACATAGCAGCCCATAATTGTTTATCTGATAGACTACAGTAAAGACGTCTTGTCAACAGCCCTTGGGATACTCTCGTCTATGACCACCACTCGTATAATGCACACACAGCTTCAAAGTACTGTTACGTCTCCGTTTGTTAATTGATTTTTCCGTAACTTCGTTCCGACGAAACTTTAACGACACAAGT